AATTCCGACTCATATTTCATTACCCCAAGAACTTGCATACGAGGAGGACGAGGAGGTTCTTCGAACCAACCACTAGTCTACATTTGAACTTGCCTAGAAATCAAATTCATGAATATCAGTAGAACATCGATCTAAAATTAAAAACAAACGCACCTTCTTAAGTCACTGACCGCTATTAACATTTCTGTGGCTTGAAAAAGAACATAGTGAAATCTGATAGTGGCTGAAAATTGATTCCGCTGAATATCAGCCAACACTTTTACAGCAACCGGGGCTTAAATGTCCCAAGTTCACACAGCCCTTCCACCTCCCTGACTGGAGAAACAACAGACTAGTAGAAAGCAGTCTTCTGGGATTTGGCACGGTGTATGTGCTGTTAACCGACGTTTCGGAGGAACGTATTGCCTCCATCTTCGGGGTAGAAGGAAAAATATAAGAAATCCGCAGGCGAAGAGACCGTGAGAACCGGTACAAGCAGACTGGTCTCTTCGCCTGCGGATTTCTTATATTTTTCCTTCTACCCCGAAGATGGAGGCAATACGTTCCTCCGAAACGTCGGTCAACACCACATATACACGGTGCCAAATCCCAGAAGACTGCTTTCTTCATAGTCGCCGCCGTGAAAACGTCAAATCTTAAACAGACTAGTAGTCAAAAAATACACTGAACGTTTTGCTGAGTGAATTGTTAGAACGAAACACGATAATGTAGTTACGTTGTAACAGAAACAACCACGGCCTATTTAACTGTGAATCTCATTTCCGGTACTGTTCCTACTATTCGTTATGTCCTTCATATTTCTTCTGCTTCCTTCGAAATTTCTATTTTTATGGGGATCGTCCGTTACTGTAGTCTACTACTGTTATACCGATGCCCTACATTCTGCATTCTTGACCTTTCATCATACAACTGGTTATACGCGGGATAGCGAAGTCTGTGTAACGACTGGCTACCGGCTGGACGGCCCAGGGGTCGGAGTTCGAACCCCGGTAGGATCACGAATTTTCTGTTCTCAATTTCGTCCAGACCGCCTCTGGGGCCCAACCAGACTCCTATATAATGGATACTTGGGGCTCTTTCCTCGAGGGTAAAGAGGCCGGGGCGTGAAGCTGACCACTCACCTCCAACTAGTGCCGAGTTCAAGAGAATGTGGATCTATACATCCACTCCCCCTTAGTCTTCATGGCGTGGTGCTTAATTAGTTAAATACAGGGGTGACTTTACCTTTTACTGGTTATACGCAAAACAGACATCTGGTAATAAATGCAGAGAAGCAGAGGGGAAGAGAAAGTGACACAAAAAACGAATTACAGGAAGAGTTTTACCTTCTGGGATACAACGCGTTGTAGTCCGGCGAAAGTAAGATAACCATGCCGCCCAAAGCTTCAGAGCAGAAGAGTACGACAAGCAAGAAACCAGCATGAAGCAAGGTAGCAAGCAGGGGAGGCTCTGTTTCGACCCTGAAGATGGAGGCCAAATGCTCCTCCAGAACGTAAGGTTTTTCACCGGACTACACGGCTGAAGTTACAGAATACAGAACTCTGTCAAAACATCAAATCCAGCAAAAGACTTACCGGATTTCGAACTACTGGTAGGTTTGTCAGTAAAAATGCAATATAAAGCCCAGTAATATGTAATTACATATACAATAAACCTTGACTCAAGGGGCTAAACAGACACCTGCCTTCGGCAGAAAATCTACTTGGTGCCGAGTACGTATCAGTAAAAGGTAAAGTTGTCCCTGTCCTTTTACACCCGAGGAAAGAGCTCCCGGTAACCCCTGGACAGGAGGCTGGATGGGACCCAGGGTCGGTCTAGACGCGAAGAAAATTCTTGACCCAACCGGGACTCGAACTCCGACCCCTCCGTCGTCAAGCCCGTGGTCAGTCGCTATACCGACTACACTATCCCGGCTCCCCGGTACATATGTGTAGAATCGTATTTTAGTCTATAGCGAAAACTAAACAGCAACTAAAGTCAAGACATTACTGAAAAACTGTATGGCTGAAAACTTCTTTTCTACAGGCATAATTTTGTACCGTACCTTGCTTCCTTATTCCTGTTACTGACGGGGCACAATTACGCACTTCCGTCAACAAAATATGTGCTACTAGAAGAACAAATAAAGGAACAAAGGAAAATAAGAAAATGAAAAGAAAAAATGAAACAAAAACGTGAGAAAACTGAAAATGTATACCAATCTTTAACAGTCCAGTCACACTAATGTTGATAAGTATGATATGACTTTTATCGTAAAAAGATGGGCTATGTAATGCGATGTTTTTTTTCTAGAAGTAAATACCCGTCTTAAAAGGAAACCTGTCTAAAATGGAAGTATGATTCTGTACAAGCATATCCTACTGTATTATATTCAGAACTGCCTCTTGGGCGTGTTATTCGACTACTGTACAAGTCACTGTTGTGTAGTTCTGTATGCTGTGCTTTGTTCGAGTGTGGCGGGTCCTTTTGTGTGATGTGTCTTATTGTATTACCACTGCCACCGGGTAAAAACCCATTTGCAGTCAAATAAATAAATAAATAAATAATAATAATAATAATAATAAATCCATAACTGATCCAGCAATCACAGCTGTATCTGAAACGTCAGCGAAAATGTAGCAAATACAACCGTACAAACAAATGAGAACGAGCTGGCTCTGTAAAACAGCACACGGTATGTGTTCAGCAGATCTTTAGATAAAGGCTCGTCTTGCTTCACTGTGTCCTATTTTCAGTGGGCTTACAGTCTACTTCTTCCCACTCATTTTGGACGAGTTTCAAAAGAAAAAAACGAAAACTACCTTTTTGTTTCGCCAAGTAAAAAAAAAAAGGAACATAAGCCAATCGGATCATCCATAACAAATACAATCCCTTGTTTATGATGAAATTCATGAAGATCCTACCACATGGAGACTGGACTCGATGCAGATCACGTGAAGCGCTCCAGCTCCGTATACGCCTACGAGAATATTCAACAATCTCCCCGAGGTTTATACGACTTCGGAAGCGGGCATCTCTTAATTTTCTTGTGACAGTGAGATATGCTTTTCTGGGCTATTTGTAATCATTACATATATATATATATATATATATATATATATATATGAGACGCCATTTAAACATATAAAAACATTCTCAGGTTTCAATCTGGTAATGTAAGATAGAAAATGTGATGGTCAACTTATTACCTAGGGTCACTCCTGGAGATTCCTCCCTCCCCCACATAATTCATATATGTCCCATTAGTGGGTCAAACACTCAATTTTTCCATATTTACAGTTAAAGTTACTTTACGATAAAAATGGAATTCTTCGTGCTGGAAGCGGCAAGGTAAACGACGCGTGAATTCTAGGAATAAGAACAGACCCATGTGTTGGGCCTTCTTCAATTCTGAGAATCATACGAAACCCATAAATACATATACGAACATTATGTTAAAGCAGATGGTACATATAATAATCAGCGCATTTTAAGGTCCTCTAGTGTTGCATCCTGCTTGAGATGCTTACAAATGACAATGGAAGGTTTACCGTCACACAAATAAATGATTCTATTAATCAGTTCAGGGCATATTTCGACCCAGATAGTCCATCATCAGGTGATTATTGAGGAATACACACGGAATGCATAAAAATGACTACCAGAAGTACATCTCCACAAAGGAAATAAACACAAAAGATTCTGCAGGACAATAAAAATAACCGGAAGACCTGACCACCATCAGGCCAACTTCGAGAACATCCAAGAACCACATTTGATATGGATTTTCTCCTTGCCTTGTTTCGGCTTAATTTTTAAAATTCTAACACGTATGTCTAGGAGCCGGCATAGCGACTGTCTACGGGCTGGACGTCCGAGGGGTCCGCGTTAGAGTGCCGGTAGGGTCAAGCATTTTCTCTTCTCCACGTCGTCCAGACTAGCTCTGGGGCCCACCCAACCTCCTATCCAATGGGCACCGGGGGCTCTCTCCACGGGGTAAAGTGGCTGGGGAGTGAAGCTGACCACTCACCTCCAGCTGCTGCCGAGGTCAAGAAAATGTGGACCTATACATCCACTACCCCACAAGTCTTCACGGCGTAGTGCTTAACCAGTTAAGCACAAGGGACAGCTTTACCTTAACACATTTGTCTAATCTGAATTTAAAATCTAGTGTATATATATATACACACACATATAGTACTTAGTCGGATCCGACCCAATTTTAACTAACAAAAGTTTTATATTAGCCGTGTAGTTTGTATGTATTCAGTCATCACTTGTGTATTCCTTTAGAATCATCTGATGATGGCATATCTGGGCCAAAACATATCGTGAACTGAGTAACAAAAACATTCATTTGTTTAATGGTATCATTCCAATTCATTTGTATTTTAAAGGGTCAAGCAGCTTCCTTCTACATTATTTCAATTCATCATTCAAAATTATTCTGCCATTCGACACACATAATCTACGTACCTGGAAAAGCAGTTATATAACCACAGAAACAATTATTATATACATTTAAAAAGAGATAAGAGATCGGGCATATTCGAGCCGCTCTCAGCTGGAATCTCGGCCCCGTGAAGGCTCTGAGACCGAGGATTTTCGCGACTTTTCGCTGGGCTTTCAGGCAAATCAGTGGCTACTTTGAAACGCGTTACAACGGTTTCCTCCTCCATTTCTAGCATAACCATTCTAACCTCTCATTCTCGCTATGGAACCTGTGCAGCTCACACAGCAACCTTAAATAACCTGCACTCAATCATAATCGGTGGTATTCGACAGCGACACTTTCATACCATGCGAGTAACACGTAAATACAAAGCGAAAGCGAAAGGTGAAATGTGCTATACATTTAACGAAGCATGACTCCTGTACTAAGGAATACGACAAGAATTTTAAACTCGTCATCAGACAGTTGTAGTCAGCTCCACATTAATAATGGGACTGAAAACTCTGCCTTCAAATTTTCCGAAAGATAAATCCATAGGCTTCCTGACACATTGGTAAGGAGTACTCACCTCCAGCAACAGTAGGACCCAAAGGGTCAAACCGAACTCTATGTTCTGTCCCTGCCTGATGAGCGTGGAGCAAATCGGAAAAGAAGCGATGGCGTCGTAGAGCCAGTTCGTCTCGGCCCACAGGAGTAGCTGGGGGCTCCGCGGTGCCACCCCCTTCAGCTACCATGTCATCATCTTCCTGGGACAGCCACTGTGGCATGGCGGCCAAGTTAGGGATGCCGCCACTACCTCGTTTGGAAGGGTGCGGAGTGGCTAGAATTCCTCTCGCCACGGCCTGTAGCGTCGCTGTGTCCAGTTCATCCTCGCTGGGCAACCGGGACCTTCCTATTTCCTCTTCCTGTACCAACAATTCATCAGTATATGGTAGCAGTTTGTCATCAGTTACGTCCCGTCCTACTTCATCATGCTTGGCTTCGACTGCACATGTCATCATTTCATCTTTCACGCCATTTGCCACAATCTCCGAGGGTTGCTTCTCGTTTCGCATTTCCTCCCTTTGTTTATTTTCGCTGCTCTCAGTAACGATTTCTGGTTTCCCTTCATCCTGAGACCTTTTCAGTGGACCGTTATCTGGTTCCGTTATTGTCACATTCGGTAGCGAGGAGACAATTTTCAGACTGTCTGAGGTTTTGAGAGGTGACTTCATCTTCTTGTCAGCTGCGTCGGCGCCGTCTGCAAGCTCCTTGTTCTGCGTCTGCTTCGGTCCATACGCATCCCTCTCTTTGTCAACTTCATCGTCCTTGTTCGTTTTGTTGTTCTTGCACCCACAACAATTTTTAAACATTTCTTTTCACTAATGTAAATCACACATAAGATGAATGTAATAGAATTAAACAAGACTGACAGCAATAAACATTTCTACGTAAGAAACATGTCAACATAATAACAGACTGTATGGAAACATTTGATTAAGAGCATAACACTGGTAATTTAAATTATTTAAAAACGACAATATACACCTTTATCCGTTATAAAACATACGAAATATCCCAGGACTCTAACATGTGTTCTGAAATCAGTTTTATTTTCGGAACACCAACACGAGGCACACTCATTGCAAAAACCATATGCACTTCACTGGCGCCAGAAATGTATACAGTCGAAACGGGCGTGCAGATACCGCTGCCATGCATGACAGCAGAATGCAATTATACACACGTGAGAATCGAAATGACTGATCGCTTATTAATCCTGTCACATATCTGAGCTTTGCTAGAACACAATACACTCCACAGAACAGAAGGACGGTTTTAGGGAGACAATCAGCCGCATGTGCAGCAAGTCCTGGCTGTCCCAGTGACCCGAAACTTCGCCCGGCACCGCCATCCACACGTCCGTAACGCCAAGCCCAGCCGCATTGTAGGCTTCGAGCCATCTGCTGGTTCGGACCCACACTACACCGCGGAGTTCATGGCGCATGGTCCATGCAGCATCCCGGCTGAAGCCAGACATCTCCCCAATTCCAGTGCGTTCCCACAGGAGAACATAAAATGGGTCATTACACTTTATTTGCTGCTTGAATTGTGCTATTCATACTCGATCTTTCACAAAAATTATCAGCCCAATAACAGCCAATAACAATTCTGCATGCTGATAACAACCAATAGAAACATTTATTAGAATTCTAGGTAAGGTAAAGGTGAAGTTGCCCTGTGTTTAACTAATTAAGCACTACGCCATGAAGGCGTATGGGGGAGTGGATGTACAGATCCACAATTCCTTGATCTCGGCAATAGTTTGAGGTGAGTGGTCAGCTTCACGCCCCTGCCGCTTTATCCCCGGGGAAAGAACCCCTAGTACCCATTCGACAGTAGAGTGGGTGGGCCCCAGAGCCGATCTGGACACTGTGGAGAAAATTTTTTACCCTACCGAGACTCGAACTCCGACCCCTCCGTCGTCCAGCCCGTAGATAGTCGCTAAACCAACTATGCTACACAATTATATATGTCAGATACAAGAAAATGTGACACCTAAACATGGTCGTAGGGCATATGGCATTACAGGCAAAATGACATGGCATCATGTTACCTAAAAACTACAAACAAAAGCAAATTAATATAGTGTCGGGAATGGAAGTGATGTTATGTAATTATGTGGGTATTATTTTAAATTGAATAATTAAGACTACGACGATCTGCCCCCTTATTATATGTATGCCTGCGTTTCACTTCAGTTTCTTAATCCTAAGACGGGGAATCAGCCCGTCTCAATGCCGCTACCTACACAGAGAATAAACGCAGGCCTTCAGTGGGATTCGAACCCACGATCCTAGTGTTCGTGCGAGCGAAGACAGTTCATGCCTCAGACCGCGCAGCCACTATGATCGGCCCCGTACAATGCATAAGTATTAAATTCACGTATATACTTTATCATATTAATACTAACTGCATTCTGCTGACCAAAATGTAACATTACAATTGTCGAATCCAACTCCATGCCATATCTTCTGCTGGGGAAAAGGTACAGTGGATGCGAATCACGCCTATTCTTTATAATTACATGGGGAAATCGGCTTATGATACGAAACTATGTCTGTGTGATCATCCACGTGCCGAGTCCCTAATGATATTTGAAGCAACTGAAGGATTTTCATGAAACTTGGCATGAACATTATGCTAAATTCCACCTATTCACTTTTAGTTTCTTTTTTTATTCTATTAGAGAACTTACGAGGAGAAAGTGGCATTATGTATCTAGCTCTCCGTCCGTCTGTCCGTCCGTCCATCCATCTACGGCTTTACAGACTCTGTGGACCTTGGACGCTTTTTCAGTTGCTTAATCTATACACAGTCGGCACGACTCCTTGGTCGGAGGATCAGACCGTCACAAGGCCGATACCAACACACAAAACAACACAAACAGAATAAACGTGCAAAGATATTCATGCCTTGAGTGGGATTCGAACCCACGATCCCAGTGTTCGAGTGGGCAAAGATAGTTCATGCCTTGGACCGCAACTCTTTACGTCCAGTAACCACACTAACAAACCTCTGTCATATTGCTACGATTGCAGTGGAAGACTACTGAATCTCGAATGGCCTCACGCTATGTTAGAACTACTAAAAGTTCAGCCACATCTGGGAGCACGGCATGCAGCCTGCTCGCCGCTTACGGCGTTGTAATTGCCACCCTCCAAGGAATAAATAATACAACTTCAGCCTCAAAATGGGGCACCACCATTCCACAACTTATAGAGGCTGTATCCACTGGGGGTAGAAGGTGCTCCATATAAGAGTCCAGAGAACCCACATGAAAACAAACAGGGGATGTTATTCCTTTCCAAACTCATAACATTGGAGAAATCATTCCTAACCTCGCCGAGGAAAACGACGTATGAGATACTGTCGTAGCCTCGACAAGTAAACCCCACAAGAGTCAACACGATGGGGATCCAGCTTCCAGTCCTACAATCTACGTGTCGTATGCAAACAATTCTTGCAGTGGACTCCAGAAGTGGAGGCCGCCTTCCAAACACTACAGGAGGCCCTCTGTACTGTCCTATTTTGCTTATCCGCAGCCAAGAGAGGGGTTCGTCGTTGACACAGACACGAGTAACGTCGGGACTGGTGGAGTGCTGTCCCACGTACAAGGACAGGAGTAACAGCCTACTACAGTAAGATTTTGAACAAGGTGGAGAGAAATTACTGCGTCACCCGGCGGGAACTGTCTGCGATCGTAAGAACACTAGAACATTTCCATATGTAACTCTATGGACAAGAGTTCTACCTCCGCACTGACTACTCTGCACTAATCTGGCTCATGAATTTTAAAAACCTCGAGGGATAAACAACCTTATGGATTCAGTATCTACAAAAATGCAACTTCACTTCCGAGAACTAAGCGCGAAAACGACAATGCCGATGTCCTTTCGCGACGACCATGCCGAGAGGAGTGTACCCACTTCCACAAAGTCGAGGCGAGGGCAGACGTCAAGCAGGTAGCCGAAGCCGGTTGGGGTCCAGTCGCTCTGAAAAGGGAACTGAACGATCAGGACACGAGGCCCGTTCTGGAGGAAGCAGGGACCGGATGGTGTCCAGAATGGCAAGACATCGCCGACCGCAGTCCCACGTACAAAAGCTATTGGGCCCAATGGAAATCCCTCGCTGTGAGGAACGGCATACTGGAGCGTAACTGGGAATCCGCCAACGGACGATCTAAAATAGCCCAGATAGTTCTCCCTCGGAGCAAAGCGAACGATGTGCTGACCGAACTACACGGTGGACCGTCAGAAGGTCACTTGGGTGTCAACAAGATCCTGGATAAGGTCCGGTAGATACTACTGGCTCCAGGCAAGAAACGATGTTGAGAAATGGTGCCGGTGGCCCGACACCTGTGTACCCAGTCGCGGCCCCCCGAACCAGGAACTGGGGACAAATGCATCAGTACAACGTTGGGGTCCCGTTCGAAAGGATAGCCATCGATGTAGCAGGGTCCTTCCCGCGAAGCGACCAAGAAAGACTACGCCACTACCAACCAAGAGGCTTAGACAGTGGCGAAAGCGCTGGTTACCAACTTCTGCAGCTTCGGAGTACAGCAAGAGCTATGTAGTGAGCAAGGCCATAACTTCGAGTCCGTCTAACATAGGTTTGGCAACGTCTGAAGTAAGCAAAACGCTCAAAACACCCCTGCATCCGCAACAGCACAGCATGGTCGTGTGTTACATAAAAACGGTCGAGAAGCACCTATGAAAAGTCGTCGCACCGTAGCAGAGGGACTGGGACGCAAGATTACATATCTTCCTCCTTGCTTAGAGGGCATCCATTCACGACACTACGAGTTTGACCCCGGCTAGCCTAGTGTTCGGAAGAGAACTCGGACTGCCCTGCGGCCTCCTGTTTGGAACCCCCCCCCAAACAGGAACGACCCCATAATCCACGCGATTAATTCACTGGCCCATTTACATGACATCCACAATTGTGACCGCCAACACCTGAAGCTGGCCAGTAACCGGATGAGAAGCCGTTACGACAGACTGGCCAACTGCGCCGGCTATCACGAGGGCGACGATGTGTGACTCTATCGGCCCACCCACACGAAGCGAAAGCCACCCAAGCTTAAATCCCCATGGGACGGCCCATAGAGGGTAGTCATGCGGATAATTGATGTGGTGTATAGGATCCAGCGGAACCCTAGATAGAGGATGATAGTTGGTGGGACACCTAGACCGGCTCGCACCTTATCAGGGAACCGCTAGGGACGAGCGGAATTAAGGAGCAGCGGGTGCAGTTTTAATCACCGTGAGAACCGAGCCAAGTGGAAGGAAAGCGAAGCCGATGACAGAAGTTACAAGCACAGCCCCCGGCAAAGAAACGGCTGTACATCTGCATGCTATTCAAGACAAATAGCCTTACGGAGGGAGCAACGTGGCATGTAGATTCGTTGCTAGAGAATGAATGCGAAACAATCTATACAACGGTCGTTATTAGGCTACGACCCGTAAACAGCAACACAGGCAAGGTGTTTTCTGTGCTGTCCATGCTGAGATGTTATATAAGCAGGGTAGTTTGTGAGGAGTGAACTGAGTTAGTCAGTGAAGTGAAGAGTAGTTGGTTGGGGAGTGAACTGGAGGACTGCTAGGTTGTCGTCATGAGCTGCTGCTGTTTGAAGCTGGTAGCTGAGGCCGAAGACAGTTCGGGAACCCAGAGGAAGGGGAACGTCCACCGCTGGAAGCCGTTATCAGATAACTGGTGAAGACAGTAGGCTGAGAAGACCTAAGTGAGAGTTCTACTGAACTGCAAATAATGTGAATTAGTGAACAGGTTATAATTACTTGTAGTCACGGATCTGTAAGAG